AAATGCCTAAATATCATGAATTAGACTGTAAATCATAAGGGAAACTACATAATATTTTGAATAATAATAATACTTAAGAAAATTTTAGGACATACTTGAAATGGTACTACAAGACAAGAATATTAAATGCATACGTAAGGCACAAAGAACAAAAACAAACTGATGATATGTAAACTAGGTATTCAACAAGTGAAGCTAAAAGGATAGGAGAGTAAATCAGAATAAACAAGAAGAGACATTTTAAAAGAACAAGAACAAAAATTATTTCAAAAGAAAAAAATGGAGATGACTCATAAGCCAAAACCTTGTTCTTTGTGTACAATTTTTTTGAAAAGTGAAGGCAGAAGTGAAAAGAGAAGGCAGATTACTGAAATAAAGGGAAGGTAACTACCAAGGGGAGATAGGAAAAAACACAGGAGGACTGGGTGTGGTAGTTTACACCTGAAATCCTAGCACTTTGGGAAACCAAGGCAGGAGGACCACTTGGGACCAAGAGTTCAAAAACTGCCTGAGCAAGAGCAAGAGCCCTGTCTCTACATAACACACAAAAAAATCAGCTGGGTGTGCCCAGCGTGGTGGGATGGCCAGTGCCTACAGTCCCAGCTACTTGGGAGGCTGAGGCAAGAAGCTTTCTCAAGCCCTAGAACGTGAGGTTGCAGAAAGTTTATAATGATATCACTGTACTCTGGCCTGGAGAGACCAAGTGAATGCCATGGGTAAATTTTACCCAAAGATTAAACCACAGGGAAAAAAGAAAATTAAGTAATAGATAAGTAGAATAAATAACAAAAATAGAGGCCATTAAAAAAAAGATCTCTCCTTTGCCCTGCTAAATGACATCAAGCTCAGTTATATTTTACAAGTTTTAGTAAATTTTAAGATTGATGTTCTCTAATTTCTTGCTGTATGGCCCAGGCTGGAGTACAGTAGCTACAGTCTCAAACTCTAGCAATTCTCCTACCACTGCCTCCTGAATAGGGAATAAAGACTTACACTACTATACATTGTATGATCCATATTTTACAGAATCTGTTTCAATAGAAAAATAGCTTTTTTATTTTAAAATTGTACAACCTTATTATTCAAACTGGTGAAAAAGCCAAATGGGAAAAAAAGAAAATAAATTTATAGCTTTGTATCAGGTAAACATTTATTTCTTTTTTTTTTTTTTTTAAAAAAAAGCACTCTCTTTAGGCCAGGCACCGTGGCTTATGCCTATAATCCTAGCACTCTGGGAGGCCAAGGTGGATGGATCACCTGACCTCAACCAGTCTGAGACTAGCCTAAGCCAGAGCCAGCTCTCATCTCTAAAAATAGACATGGGTTGTGGCAGGCACCTGTAGTCCCAGCTACTTGAGAAGCTGAGGCAAGAGAATCACTTGAGTCCAACAGTTGGAGGTTGCTGTGAGCTGTGATGCCACAGCACTCTGTGGAGGACAACAAAGTGAGACTCTTGTCTCAAAAAATAATAATAATAAATTAAAAAAGCACCCTCTTAAAAACAAGAGAAAATGGAACCACTAGGCCATATTAGTTAAAAAAAAAAAAAAGGTCAAATGTTTTATTCTAAGAATAGAAGAAATGTTTAGCATTATAAATCTGTTAGGTTAAGAGGTCAGTTAGGAACTATGAAGTAGGGGGTGGGATTTTAGAAACAAAAAGAACTATAATACCAGGTCTATAGATGCTGAGAAAGCGTTTGAGAGAGTATCTTTCATTATAAACATTTTTAATTGACTAGAATGACAAGAGCTCTTCATAAAGAGTAGCTACCATGAGAATAACTATGCTGTAACTATAACTATAACTGTGCAATTTTGGAAGGACTTCCACAGTCAGAAATAAGTCAAGAGTTCTGAGTCTCTACTCCAATTCAAAATGGCACCACAGCGGCAGGCTAATAAGACAAAGACAGTTATGGAAGAAGGTAAGGATTCAATCACAAAAAATTATTATCTTTGTTGTTTGAAAATAATATAATTGCCAATGTAAAAGTCCACAATAATCAATCAATAAATAATTATATCTAACAAGAACTCAAGAGAGTTGGTGGGCATAAAATATAAATTGTATAAAAAAATACATGTACACTAGTAATTACAGTCTGAAATTGAAATGGGAAAGCAAAACATCATTCAAAACAGTACAACAGATTCTATATCCAAAAATAAATATGTCAGCTTTACATAAAGAAAATTATAAAATGTCATTATAGGGACACAAAACAAGATCTATTTAGTTAAAAGATAGGTGTATGCTGTCCTGTGGTATGTTTTGGGATGACTCAATATGCTAAAATGTTCATATATTTCAAAATAATCTAAATGTTCAATGCTAAACAAACTTTTCTGGATATTTTGTAGAAAACTATAAAATTCATTTTGATGAACAAAAACCTATTTAAAATGACTTTCAAACAGACAAGAGGGAGTGTTAGGCCTTGACTTAGTACTAAACTATGCATAAAAGTACATATAAATCTGTAATTACAACAGTGTAGCATTGGTCCAGGTATAAAGAGCAGGTGAATAGAACAGAGACATTTTTGCTGTTTTCTGGGAATCTCCTTACTGACGTTTTCTAATTGTCTATAGCTAGCTCATCAATGGATGCTTTCAGCCTTTGCGTCTCAGCTTCTGTATTTTCGGAACGGGAGGGAGGGGTGAATATGTCAAAATAGTTCTCTGATCCTAAGCTTAACTCAATGTTGTTAAAGGAAACTGGTTGATTCATCCACTCGGTGAGTGCATTCAATGCAGAGAATGGGGCCTTTGTATGCATATATAATGTTGGGGTGTCATGCAAGGTGAGAAGAGTCTGTAAAGATGGAGAAGGTGGTAGTTGAGCGGATGGATATGTGTGATATTGGAAGAGTACTGTGCAGTACTGCTATGGTCAGGCAGAAAAGAAATCTCATTGGTCATATGAAATGCAAGGTTGTTTTTACTTGATATTTAAATTAATTTCTTAGAATTATCAAGAAATAATGTCTTGGGCAGCACCTGTGGCTCAGTGTGTAGGGTGCCGGCCCCTATACCGAGGGTGGCGGGTGCAAACCCAGCCCCAACCAAACTACAACAAAAAAATAGTCCGGCATTATGGCAGGCACCCGTAGTCCCAGCTACTTGAGAGGCTGAGGCAAGAGAATCGCTAAGCCCAGGAGTTGGAGGTTGCTGTGAACTGTGTGACGCCAAGGCACTCCACTGAGGGCGATAAAGTGACACTCTGTCTCTATGAAACAAAACAACAGAAAGAAAGAAATAATGTCTTTAGTGTAATGGTTAAGAAAAGGGACACTGGCCCTAACCTTTGTCAGTCAGAAAGCCCTCTGCCATTTATTAAGTATATGACGTTGGGCAAGTTATATTAAGATTCCTTTGGCATGCTCGTGGGTAAAACTGGGATAAAAAGAGTGCCCAGGTGTGTGATGAGGATTAAATGAGTTAACACTTGGAAAGCACTTAAAAATATATCTTTTTATAAAAAGAAAATAAATATATAAAAGTAATTAGGAAGGGTTTTCTGCTACACACAACATCTACATTGTCTGTCTTTGGCCCTAGGCACTTTTGCCCTGGCGTGCTCTGTCCTCTATTTAAATAACAATTTTCTTTAAGCTAAAAGTTCACCTTTCCTTCTAATTTAAAAAATAAATAAATATTTTTGTGAGCCTTTGAAAGTACTGTGGGCCTTTGGCATTGTGCCTACTGTGCCCTAATGGATGTTAGTCCAGTATGTACCTGAAGATGAATTTTTAAAATATACTATATATGTGTGTGTGTGTATATTCAATTAGGAAATAATTATTCACACACAGGTAAATACACACTCTGAATCTTCACACTAAGTATTCTACAAACATGAAGCCAATAAAGAAGAGAGGTTCTAGGAAAGGCTCCTCAGAGTTGTGAGGGTGTCTCCAACCACTGGAGAAGCGGGGAAGTGCTAGCTCCCGGAGAAGAAAGCAGGGAGACGCTGGGATATTGAAGCTGAATTTTTCATCCCGCTTCTTCAATCCTCACCTCTTGGTTTGAGCTTATCAGAACAACAGGAGAGGAGCAGAAAGACCAAGGTGCGGGGCGAGGGATAGATTATTGCTCTTCTCGGTCTTCAAAATTCTCAATCCACTGTTTTCTTCTATAACTGACTTGAATACATTTTTCAGATTTTCCAATGTCTGACGGCCTGGTGGCCTCCAAGAGAGGGTACTGGGCGGCGAGGCCTTGGAACCACCAGGGGGCGACCGACCCGCATCTTTGCGGAAGCGGGCTACAGGCGGACCTAAACGTTAAGGGGTGCTCGGTGTTGAACCTGAAAGAGGTAACTTGGCGCCGGGGTAACGTGAGACTCTGTTATCAGGACCAGCAGGGGAGCAACAAAATGGCCATACCAGAGAACCACCTTGGAGGGGCGTGGAGGGCCCGAAGATGCGTTTCCACCCTTTGGTAGCTGCACTGTCAGTAGGATTGCCCCTGCCAATTTTTTCAGAACCTCTCACTTTCACTTTGAAATCATTCTGTGCAAATTTTCAGCTTCGTGAGGTTATGGTAGTAGCATTTTAGAGCGATTCCCTATCCCCCAAAATAAAGTTCTCCAAATGTGGTTCCCCAACTAGAAGCATCAACATCATCAGGATTGAGAAGGCCAAATTATCAGGTGATACTTCAGTTTAATAAATCAGAATCTATAAGGGTGGGGTTAAGCAATTACGTTTTTAAAAGTCCTTTAGGTGGTTTTAGTGCACACTCAGGTTTGAGACAGCTTCAAAGTATTGTGTTTCTCTTAACTAAGATGCTGGAGTTAACCTCTCAAACGGCAATTATCCTAAATCAAGCTGTTTTAACTTCAGGATCATTACCAAAGCTGAAATAGTGCTTAGGCCTTACCCATTCAGACTTCGATGCCATAAAGTGAAGGCAGATAGGTAAACAGGTACCTAGGTAAATGTCTAGAAAGGGCAGACCTTCGGAGAAAGATTTTAATCAACAATGAATGCAGAATTCCAAATTCTCTGCAGATTTTATTAATTATAACATTTACAGACTTTCTACCATCCTCTCATTCAGACTTTTCTTTGCAAAGATAGTCCATGGCAAATAATGAATTACCCAGTAATTAGGTCTGTACAGAAGTAGATTCTATTTCTGTAACTTAAAAAATAAAATGAAAAAGCTAAAAGACCTTGTTTAGTTTCTTCCACTCAGGTAATGATCTCTTTTTGATGAGTCAGTATGCAGCAAACCAAGATGGGTTGGATTTGGATGGGATACAGACACTAGTCATTCTCAGGCAGATCAGACTTTTCATACTTCTTAACTTCTATGAATACATTTCATATTTTCAGTTATTTTATGCATTCATTTCTTCTCTGCATTTGTATCTCTCCCCTGATTAAAGAAATAAAAAGCATTTATTTGTTAGGTGTCATTTTGTTATCAGCTCTAATATTCACTATATTAAGAAAACGGTCTTTTTTTATGTGGTGGTATAATGTACTATTAGGAATCTCTGCTTCAGTGTTACCTACACTTTAATAGTTATTAGCATTAACAGATAATTGCTCAAATCATGCTTAGTCAAGAGATATCATTGAATAATATGATCTTTCACATCCCCCAACTACTTTTCTTGAGTGGAATTCAAATAAGTCAGAAGCTCTTTTCTCCCTTTAGGTTTTGACCTGAGAATATTTGTACACTCTGATTTTAATTTTCTTTTCTTTTTCTTTTGAGACACTGTCCCCAGGCGGGGGACAGTGACACAGTTGTAAATCACTTCAACCTCCAAATTCTAGGCTCAAGTGATCCTCCTGCTTAAGCTTCTAGAGGAGCTGGCACTATAGGCCCATACCACCAATCCTATCTAAAGTATTTAGAGTTTTTGTAGAGACAGGGATCTTGCCATTTGTTCAGGTTAGTCTTGAAGCCCTGTCTTCAAGTAATCCATCTACTTTAGCCTTTCAAAGTGCTGAGATTACAGGTCTGAGCCACCACAGGTCTGACCTGGGGCCTGATTTTCATTTTAGCACAGAAAAAAGTATACACTTATATATAATAATTGCTAGCTATTATTAGCTACTTACTAAGTGTCCATCACTATTCTCAGTATTTTTACATGAACTATCTCAATCATTCAAACAACTCTGAGAAGGGATCACTGTTATCATCATCATCTTTGTACAGATGAGGAACTAATACCAGATAGTCTGAATTATTCATTTGAACCATTTTGACAACATAGCCCTGGACTGTATTCCTGTTGTTATACACGTATGTGCGCTTTAATTACTTAAGTAATTAATTACGTCGTGTTAAAAATACTTTGTGAGTCTGCTGTGTGCTCAGAGCAGCCTTGGGCATTAGGGCGTCAGCAGCAAAAAAAGAGAAATTCCCTGTGTTTATGGATCTTACAGCCTTGAGAATGGGATGGGGAAGCAAACAAAAAATAAATTTATTTAATGCTAAGTATAATGAAGAAGTGTGAGTAGGGAAAGTTAAAAATGGGGATAGAAGGATACTATTTTATATTTGTTGGTCAGAGAAAACCTCCCATATGTGATGACATTTTAATTAATCCTCCTAACCCCAAACCCAACAAATGTGGTCTTTCAGTTACTGTGTGACAAGTATTACACCCAGCTGTGACATCAAATGTATAAAAAGGCCTATTTACCTTTCTTCTCTTTTTCCTTTCTCTCTCAGTCTTTTTCCTCTTACATTTTACCATGGGCTTGTTTTTGGTCTCTAAACTCTTTCCCTCCTTTATAGTAGCAATTTGTTTCTTCTATTCCTTTTCTGAGTCCTTTTCAATTTCTCTCACCTTTCTTCTCCTCATGCTCCTCTTTCTTTTTCTAAAAAGTAGCATAATGTGGCTGTAATATTTATAAAATATTGTTTTGTATTTATGAAGTATAGCTGAACATAGTCAAATTTATTTATTCTTTTATTTATTTATTTTTGAGACAGAGTCTCAAGCTGTGTGCCCTAGGTAGAGTGCTGTAGCATCATAGCTCACAACAACCTCCAACGCCTCAGCTAAGTGATTCTCTTGCCTCAGCCTCCCAAGTACCTGGAATTACGGGCGCCCGCCACAATGCCGAGCAATTTTTCAGTTGTAGTTGTCATTGTTTGGCAGGCCTGGGCTGGATTTGAACTTGCCAGCTCTGGTGTATGTGGCTGGTGCCCTAGCTGCTGAGCTACAGGCGCCAAGCCAGAACATAGTCAAATTTAAACAAAATAATATTGATATTACTATTTTTGCCTTAATATAATCAGTTTGGTGAGTCCAAGTCCATTCACTTGCCTTAAGATTTCTAAAGCATGAATCTTTTTTTTTTTTTAATAGAAAGGAAAATAAAAGCAATTAGTTAAAAGTCTCCATCCTTGACTGAGGTTCTAGCAGGTCCAGGGTTACCTTAGCTCTCTGCATCTATCTCCAGTGCCCAAGCCAATGCCTAGCCCATAAACATTCCATGATTACCTCTTAAATAAGCTGATTTACAAATAAATACTGAGCAATAGCCATGTTACAATTTACTAGGGAATTTTGACCCATTTCAAGAACCTCCCTATAATCCTTTATGATTGAATTCTTCTCAGTTTCTGCCCCTTTTTCCTCCCTCTACTAACTCTTAATCTTGTAATACTTTATGCATTGTATTTTTTACTATTACTCAGTCATTAGTCTCAAATTTTATACATCCAATTATTAATATAGTTTTAATTTCTTGTCCAAGTTTAAATTTCATGAATTTGTTTTTCCATATTATTGTTTCATATTTTCACAATCTACAGTATTTTCTGAGATTATAATTTTTTTTTTGCAGTTTTTTGGCAGGGACTGGTTTTGAACCCGCCACCTCCGGCATATGGGGCCAGAGCCCTAGTCCTTTGAGCCACAGGTGCCACCCTATAATTTTTATTGTAAGCATTTTTCTGCTTAAGTTTGTTTTTTGCTTCAAAAGATCAAACATATTTGTTGGACATTCTAACAGTAATCATGCGTCAAATAATTGATTTACAAATAGCTAAATTACTTTAGAATTTCCCAGATGAATTAACTCAATACATTCAATTTTTTTCAGTACTTGCTACGTCCTGGGCTAATGTTTTATATAAACTATAGAGGCACTATGTTGTCCTTTGCAATGTTGGGGAAAAGTCTATCAAGGAATCACTTCAGGATTTTATTGGCCTTTGTCTCTTGAAATAGTAGTCAATTGCAGTCTAAATTGTTGGAATTTTTAAAGGTTTATTATTTAAACAAATCCAAGTGATTTAATGGACAATTTCTACCTACTCTTTAATGCACAAATACTTTTACATTGAAGTATTTCAACCATTAAAAAAATGATGTAGTTGTTTTAAAATATGTTCATGAAATCTTTTATTATCCTTAACTGAAAGAGTGGACTCTACTTTTCCTTCTGAGTATGTGCCAGATTTAAGAGACTTGCTTATAATTAAGAGACTGTGGCACAATTGTGTGTCTTTCAAAGCTTGTTCACAAATAGCACTGTGACTTATTCCTCCCACTCTCTCCATCTCTTTTTTCTCTTTCTAAGGGTAGATAGTTGGTATATTTTGAAGATAGTTAGTGGGCCCTTTGGAGAGGTCTAAGTGGCAAGTTCTCAGCCAATGGCCAGCTCAAACTGTGACATATCCCAGTATGCCATCTTAGATGGGAATCCTGAAGCTATAGTCAAGGATTTGGATGACTGAGCCTACGCTTACATCTTGACTTCAACCTTAAGAAAGGCCCTGAACAATATCCACCCCTATCCAGAAGCTAAGTCACTTCTGGATTCCTGGCCCATAGAAATTAAATGAGATATTGAATATTCATTAATGTAGGCTTTCAGTTGGGGATAATTTCTTACAAAGTGATAGATAATAGAGCACTCCACAATTAATTACATAAGGCTACATAATCCTAACTATGAAATCTTAACTATGAAAGGTAAACCCCAAAGGGAATATCATAGAATGCTTTTATATGAAAAGAAATGGGAAAAAATTCTTGTGATTTCATCAGATGTCAAAAAGTGATTGAATAAATTTCATAAATAATTTCTAATAATAATTCTTAAAACATGATTAGAAAGAAACTATCTTAATACAACGTAGACTTGCGCCTATGTGTGCTTGTGCGCATACACAGGCACACAAACACCCAAACATAATTTTGACTATGAATTATCAAAGCCATTTCTATGACAAGAAGGAAAAGACAATGCCTGTTAGTATGTCTATTACAGCATATTGTTTGTGACTATACTAACACAGTAAGATGATAAAAGTGACAAATAAATAGTTATTGGAAAGAGTATCCAATATTTTTATGTGGTAATAATAGTATATGTTATCAAAATCAAGACAATGTATTAAACATTGATTAAGATTAATAGATTTGATAGCTAGGTTAAAAATAGATGTAAATAATTAATTGCTCAACTATCCTCCCACATGAAGAATTTCAAACAGTGCCTTAGTCTGATACTATGTGTCAATATTACATTGTAGTAACAAGAAATAAAGCTTAATTCAGTGTCATAAAGTGACCCCCTTTTTGTTGTATTATTTTAATTTTGTTCCATTATTTTATATACTATTTAAATTATTAATTAAATGAATGCATCAATTCTAGAAAATTCTCAGCCATCATCTTTTATGTATCACATTTGCATCATCCTCTATTATTGTACTATGAATAATCCATGTCAGATCATTTTACTAATTTCAAATCTTTTTTTTTTTTTTTGAGACGGAGCCTTAAGCTATCCCCCTGGGTAGAGTGCCATGGCATCACCAACCTCCAACTCTTGGGCTCAAGCGAGTCTCCTGCCTCAGCCTCCCAAGTAGATGGGACTACAGGTGCCCACCACAACGCTTGGCCATTTTTTGGTTGCAGCCATCATTGTTGTTTGGCGGGCCCAGGCTGGGGATTCGAACCCGCCACCTTAGGTGTATGTGGCTGGCACCTTGAGCCACAGGCGCCTAGCCTAATTTCAAATCTTTTAAAACTTATTGTTACATTTTTCTCTCTGCATTTTGGACATATCTTTAAGATCTAGTTGCACAGTTCATTAAAGTTCTCCTAGGTCAAATTAGTTGTTAATCTCATTTAACAAGCTTTTAATTCTGTGATATAATTAACTACATTTTTCTTTATTTTCTAAAATTTTTATTAGATATTTTACTTAAATCTGTGTGACCACTTTTTGTATTTCCTTAGTCCCTCAACATGTTTTATTAACTGTTGTTTTTTTTTTTATGTCTCTAAAGTTAGTATTTAAAAGGCTGTATCTTTCTCTTTTTTTTTTTTTTTTTTTTTGAGACAGAGCCTCAAGCTATCCCCTGGGTAGAGTGCTGTGGCATCACAGCTCACAGCAACCTCCAACTCCTGGGCTCAAGCGAGTCTCCCGCCTCAGCCTCCCAACTAGCTGGGACCACAGGCACCTGCCACAACGCCGGCCATTTTTTTTGGTTGCAGCCATCATTGTTGTTTGGCGGGCCGGGCTGGGGATTTGAACCCGCCACCCTAGGTGTATGTGGCTGGCGCCCTAGCCGCTTGAGCCACAGGTGCCGAGCCCTTTCTCTCTTTTAAAATACTTATTTTCCTCCATTGTTTGTTGCTCTTATTGTTCTTGATTGTACTTCCTTGTTTCATGATGTTAATTTTGAATGCAAAGCTGCTCATTGGTTATCTGGGGGCATTTTTGGAGGCCTAAAATAAAACTTGTTCCTCTAAAGATTTTTCTATTTGCTTCTACCAGTAGCTCAGTGGCACAAAACCAGTCTGGGATATCCCTAAATTCTTAGGTTGGGTGTTTTGAATCTCTGATGTATTGACTGATGTACTGAATGCTGAGAACAAGTAAGCGTCAAGGTTAGCTTGTAATCTAAACCTTGGTGGCAGAATCTATCTGGCTAAACACACAGGTTCAGAGCTGACTTTTTTCCTGCTATCATTCTGTGGACAGTGAGTGTTTTTATTTCTAGCTCATCCCTCTTTCCTGAGGAAGGTAGTTTTTGGTCTGCTGTCTCAGCTTTACCTGAAAAGATTTATCAGGCTGTACACTCTGGTCAGTTTACATACAACACTCTAAAACCAAAGCGAAGGTTTGGGTAAAAGCTAGTACTTCTCGTGTCACCTGGGCCAAGTTCCCATGTTCCTTATTCTTCTAGCCCTCTTCATTACCATTAAGAATTTTTAAAAAATACTATGCAGGCTTTTTAGTTGTCCTTCCAGGTACCATGGTTGCCGTATAAAAACTCCATCCCACAATCAATAAAGACCTGTTTGTGAGGCCTGAGCACACAAAGATTTGCAAGCTTACTCCTCCATCAATTATTACCCACCACCTAAATTCTGTTTCTCAGCAAGCACCTCACTCCAAGCCTTTCACCTCCCAACCTTACCTGAAGCTTTGACTTTTTAAATTCTGGCCACTCCCTCCCAGCTCTCTCCTGTCTCCTCCTAGATGTCTTTTCTCCCCATTGTCATCTATTCCCCCACAGGGTAAATAGTTTATACCATCATCCAATTTTGTACAGCAGAAGCCACATTGTAGCAGAAGCAGTTTTCCTCTCCTTTTTACCTTCTTTTGTCCTTGGTACTCAGGGGCAAAGAAATGAACCACAATGAGAAGGGGACCTCAGTCTTCAGGTGATCCCTATCAGCAGATTGGACTTTTCTGATTACCCAGAGTATTTTTTAAACTGAATGCTTCTAAAACAAGACTATGAATTAGAAAATTTTCTGAGATTGTTGAGAATTTGAAGGTATCTCAAAGACTTGTTTTTTTTCCTCGCTCCCATTAAGCCTAATCAAAGCCTCCGACACCAAGCGGCCCAAATGCAAAGCGAGCAACCAGAAACTTTAGTAATACTTCTGTGAAAACTCACTCTACCTCCACCTTTTTCCCCTACAGTATTACTATTTTAAAAGTTTGGAAAAAAAACTTTTGTGCTCAGGGTTAGTAGTCATTGACCTTGGATCAACATCACGACCAATTTGGAGACTTATACACAAAAAGAGCTATACATTTAAAATGACCATTATCAAATTATACTAGCATCTAGTTGCGTGATACTAAACGAGATGATTCCGTAACACTTGTACAAGACTCTCAGTTTCTGGTAGCAATTGTTATTTCCCGTTAATAATTTACACGTTATTTACTACACAATGCCAACATGTTAAAGATTCCTAACAGTTTTATAAAACCGGGTGTTGAGAAATCCAACAATCTCTTAAATGAAAAAATTACAACTCATTTTGTTGAAAACTTACGTGGCTCTTAAAAGAGCCTTTGGGGTTGGTGTAAAGACGCTTACTTGGCAGGTTTACTTGGAGCTGGTGTACTTGGTGACAGCCTTAGTGCCTTCAGATACCGCGTGCTTGGCCAGCTCCCCGGGCAACAACAGACGAACGGCAGTCTGGATCTCTCTGGAGGTGATGGTGGAGCGCTTGTTGTAATGTGCCAGGCGAGAAGCCTCACCCGCAATGCGCTCGAAGATATCGTTGACGAAGGAATTCATGATGCCCATTGCCTTAGAGGAGATACCGGTGTCGGGATGAACCTGCTTCAGCACCTTGTACACGTACACAGAGTAACTCTCCTTTCGGCTGCGCTTGCGCTTCTTCCCGTCCTTCTTTTGCGCTTTAGTCACTGCCTTCTTAGAGCCCTTCTTTGGGGCAGGAGCCGATTTCGTAGGTTCAGGCATCCTAACGTTAAAAAGAATGCAGCTGCAAACACCTGGGAAAATAATTCGCCCCCAGCAAGGCCACGTTCATTTATAGACGCGGTATTCAAATGAGGTTAATGAGATTTCGTTTGTGATTGGATGAACTTTAGCGTGTCGTCACAAAAGCCAACATAAACGACACTTAAACGTCTATCTTTTCATTGGCCCTTTGATTACTTTACTTTAACCCAATCAGAAAGCTCAGTCTAGACTACCCGAAGCTGCTATAAATAGGTCTCCCCTAGGAGACTGGTCTATTTCAAAGAGCATTTGGCTAGACTGCGGAATCTTGTGTAGCCAGTACTGTATTCCCAGACACGTCCACAGGTGGAATATCCTATTGAGTGGTAGATACCCTTCATATGTAACTAAAGACTCTTTTGGTGCTTTAACTAACAGCCTTACCAGTTCTGGGTGGCTGTGCTTTCCCATTTTTGCCTTAATAGGACAGGATATTCTCCAACCCCGACCTGGGAATTCTGTTATGTGCTAAAACCCAAGGGAGTGGCCACATGGTAGGGAAACTTTGTGCAAACTACAATCCAGGGTGAAGAAAAAAATCGGTGCACAGTATCCTAGCAAAGCAGTAGGTGGACACACTTTCCCAGAGCTTAGAGAATGCGAGCTCCCCAAATTTAACAAGTCTGGAAAACCCACCGGAACTGTCTCACACGGAGGCCCGCCCCTCCGTAGTGGCATTCTTCCAGCCACGCCCCCTAACCCCCTGAGAAAGTGTAACAGCTCTTTTACTGAGATAGTTGGGTGGCTCTGAAAAGAGCCTTTGGGTTGTGTTGAGCGTCTAAGCAGTTGGCCAAAGGACTTATTTCTTCTTAGCTGCCGCCTTCTTTGGCTTGGCTGCCTTGGGCTTGGCGGTCTTTGGTTTAGCCGCCTTAGGTTTCACAGCTTTGGCCTTCGCTGGGCTCTTAGGCGCCTTCTTCGGCTTGGCTGCTTTCGCCTTTTTAGGGCTTTTCGCTTTTTTGGCTCCTGCAGCTGCAGCCGGCTTCTTCGCCTTCTTTGGGGTCTTCTTGGCGCTCTTCTTAGGGGTGGCTGCCCCTGTCGCCTTCTTAGGCTTCTTTGCCGCTCCTGCAGGCTTCTTGGCCTTGGTTGTAGTTGCTTTTTTAGTTCTAGGCTTGGCTTCCCCGGAGGCCGCCTTCTTGTTGAGTTTGAAGGAACCCGAGGCGCCTGTGCCCTTGGTCTGCACCAGGGTGCCCTTGCTCACCAAGCTCTTAAGACCAAGCTTGATGCGGCTGTTGTTCTTCTCCACGTCATAGCCGGAGGCCGCCAGCGCCTTCTTGAGCGCAGCCAAAGACACACCGCTACGCTCCTTGGAGGCGGCAACAGCCTTGGTGATGAGCTCAGACACCGGGGGTCCGGACGCTTTGCGTTTCGCCGCACCTGCAGACTTGCGGGCCTTTTTTTTCACGGGTGTCTTCTCGGCAGGGGCCGGAGCGGCGGGCGCAGCGGGCGCAGTCTCAGACATATTGAAGGCGGGCGTGAAGGAGAGCAATTAGAGCCGGAAGCAGAGGCACTGGCCGGGACTCGGGCCGCGGCGCTGCGCCCGCCCGTTTATATAGGGCGGAGCTGCGCCGTGATTGGTGCGCTGTCCAGCCCGCCTCGCTGGCAGCCACAGAGTGTCCTCTCGGATCCCGAGTTGTGTTTGTTACACCTCAAAAAAAGCCAAAAATATCAAAATTCTGTACACTGAACTACTCATTTTTTCTCAAATAAAGGTCCCTGAAGCCTCAGGCTTCACGCAGAACTCAAATTATGATGAAAGCACAAAACCTTGTGCCAGAAACTAGCAATATTTCCTGCCGTGCTCGACAAATTTCAACTCAGAGAAACAAAACTTTCTATTTTCTTCGTAAATTATAAACCGATCTTTAACTGTGGAGTTTTCTGACCTCTCAAGTATGATTCTCCAAGTGCTTAGCTTCTTATATGTCCAAAAAACATGTCACTGGCACTAAGATTTTTATTACAAATCTGCACTTAAGTGAGGGAAGTAACACAGGCTCCTCAGAGAGTCCTGCCTATTGAGCCGAGGGCATTTGAGTTCATCAAACTGGTTTAGTTTAATGCTAAACAAATCATTGCCTATTTGGGGTTAAATTTTGGGCCCCTGGGACATCAATCTATGCAGGTATGGCTTTATTTATGTCCACTACACCTAAGTTTTTAAATAATTCCATTGGATAATTCTTTCCCTTTCTACTCCCAAGGGTTGGGGGCGGGGCGGTTGCTTCTCTCTTCCTCTGGACAACTGCTCCAAGGGGTTGAAATACTTTGATTTCAGGGTATTTGGGTGGGAAGGGGAGTCTAAAACATACTCAGGATACAGAAATGTACACGGATTAATTTTCAAATTTAATGTCAATAAAGTCATTGGAAGTGGAGGTGCAGTTTACTTTAAAGAATATATTTGCAGCCTTGCTGAGTGCTTCTGGTATGTGCTTCAGAACCAAATTATAATATACTAGTTAGAGCTGAAACTCAAACAATGATCATAAGGGAAAATAAATAAGAGTTTTAAATTTAACATATCTATTCCCATTATTAGGGGGAACACAGACCTCGTTACTAGTGAATAGCTGATGGATGACTATTCCACTCACCATACGTGATTTTAATCTCCAAGAAGATTATGGCTCAATGTTTCCCAGAACTCCATAAAAAGGAAAATAAGTGACATGAAGGGATTAAATAAATAAAAAGTTTAAATTTCCATCTTGAGCAGAGGTTTGTTCAAGCTAAGTCATTGCCCTCTAAAGACATGTTTTGAACGATGTCTGAAAGAATGGATTTGCTTGGGAAGAGTATAAACTGGCAATCAAATATCAATTAAAAAATTATTTCTGAAAAGCAATCTGGCTGGAATTGTTTTTTAAAACTGCCAGCCATCTTCTAAGGAGACAAAAATACAATTTTGCCCAAGGCTAAAAGGTGATTTTATGCTTCTGTAGATGTGGCTAATAGTAACATGGTATTTATATATCACTTTAAAATTTAGTTCCATTTCCTCAAATCTTCTCCACAGAAACAGACCCTACTACTAACGTGAAAAGAATGCAAAAGTTTGATACAACATGAACGTGTTTCAAAATGGTGCTGTTTAAATTAATGCTGAATTTGGTATAAAAGTGATATAATCACTTTTTTTAAGCCAGGATGTTTAAACATGTTCAATTTAACTTGTGCGCACTAGTACAAAATATATATACCTTTGATATTTATTTAAACAAAAAAAGTGGGTAAATTTCCAAAACAGACTAGGGAATTTGTATGTGGGTATTTGATTCCAAAGTGGTAGAAATATACCCATTTTTAAGTGACAACCAAAACTATTCCTTTAAATGGCTGGAGTTTGCCTTCAAATGCCTCCCTCACTTTGTCCTATGTAATCTTTACTTCTTGGAAAGACTTAAATTCTCCAGATTCTGGGATCTTTCAGATTACCTCTGCTTACTCCCTGTGATGCTGTGTGTTTTCTGATAAATAAAATAATTTGACTTACAAGGCCACTGTTAAATCAAGCATTTGACATTTCTTTGTGATGAAATAGGAAGACTATCAAAAGGTTTTACTTTTTTAATGATTTGTCAGGAGTTGGCTATATGAGCACTATGTGGGTATACATGCATGTCCATGTGTGTGTGTTTTAAATACAGGTTTCAAGGCCTTGTTTCAGATAATTCTGATCTAAGAACTCCCCACTAGGTCCTTAAAATACGAATATTTACAAGATGATTGTGACACTCTCATACCCTATCAAGTTGGGAACCACTGCTACCTCTCACTAGAGCAGGGAAAAAGTGTTTCTTTTTTTTTTTTTTTTTTTTTTTGAAACAGAGCCTCAAGCTGTCCCCCTGGGTAGAGTGCTATAGCATCACAGCTCACAGCAACCTCCAACTCCTGGGCTCAAGCGAGTCTCCCGTCTCAGCCTCCCAAGTAGCTGGGACCACATGTGCCAGCCACAATGCCTGGCTATTTTTTTTGGTTGCAGCCATCATTGTTGTTTGACAAGCTGGGGCTGGATTCAAACTGGCCACCTTTGGTGTATGTGACTGGTGCCTTAGCCACTTGAGCCACAGGCACCAAGCCAGGAAAAAGTGTTTCTTGACATACAAGTGCTCTCATGGATTTCTGGGCTTACCTGTGAGATCTTAGAAAAGATGTCCATGCTAATTATGTCCACATGTTGAGAGGATGAGGGCATGAGGGCAGCTGACTTCATTGAATTCACACTTGCCTGGACACTGTAGTGGGCTCAAGACAGAAAAAGGAGAGTAAAGTTAATAATCCAATGATTATTTTCCATCCACAAAGAACGGACTGAACTTTGGCTAACTGTAGACTACTTGAATCTTCTATTACAGAATCTCTACTCTGTATCTCATTTTTAACATTCTGATTAATAATTATCTCTTCCATTTGTTGGCTACCGCATACTTCCTACATTCTTACTTAGTCAATGCAACAATCCTATTATAGACAGCATCTTTATTTACAGTAGAGGAAATGGATGTGCAAAGGTTAAAGAATCCTCCTTAGAATACTGCTGGTAAGAGGTGCATTCCAGAGTCCAGTTCACATAGGTCTGACTTCAAAGCATGTGCTCTTAATAACCACCGTTTTCCAGAGTGCAGGTCTGAACAAGCATTAAAAATTGTGAAATGAAGTTAGTTGAGCAAAGCTAAAATATTTCTTTTTTAATAAAATAGAATAGAATATAAAATACTAGAGTTCATTACATGTAGTTGTAGTTATATTCACAGCTCTTTGTGAGCTAAGTCCCTGTGTAAAAGACATTTCTTACCATGTAGTCTCAAATGTTCAGAGTAGGTAGTATGTCTTCCTCATGCAATTTCTTGAGTTTTTGTAGTCAAGAAATATTCTCAGATTGGTTTGTTATTCATTAATAAGCTAAAAAGGTAATTTCTCATCATTAAGTTTTAAGCCTCTAAGGAACCCTAAGTGATAGAAAATGGGGGAAAGTCTGATTATTTTTATTTTGGGCATAACAACAACTGCATTAAGTGAAACAACATGATTTATGGAAAAGCTGAAAGAAAAGGCAAAATTGTGCTTGCTTCCTTTTACTCTCTAGTTCTAGGTTCCAAACACTGTATTCCGGACTTTGCTACTTTAATATGATGTTATCATTTAACATCATATTGCATATTGCTGATTGCTTTATTAAATATACAGTTTGGAAAAAAGATGCTTTATACTAGACAAGGGGACTGTAGACTCTCACAGGCACAAATTTTTTTTTGAGTCAGCAATTAAAACTGCTGGTTACCTGTCCAGAGTTATCTATTGGGATATTGAAAATAATCTTTGTGTCTATATGTAAGAGATTGGTTGAATAAATTAGGGCACATTCATCCAGTGGAGTAATATGTAGCTACAGAAATGACTGAGTAAAATCTCTATGAACTAATATAGTGTGAATTCCAGGATATACCTCTAGGTAATAAATCAAAAGAATATTCAATACCATGAATATACTAGAACAAAAGAATATTCATACCATGATACCCTTATGTCAGAAGTAAGAGCATATCAGAAAACAGACAATTTTCTCTTCATTTATAACAAAAGAAATATAAGAAAGATAACCCCAAAACTAGAAATATTGGTTCTTTATGGAAAGAAGGTGAGAATAAAAAAGGGTGGGAAGAAGGAGGAATAGGAAGAGGATAGCAGGAGCAAGAAGGGAGTGACTCTTTTTAGTATAACCCTTTGTGTAATTTTGATTCTTATAACTGTGGTAATGTTTTATATACAGCAAAAGAACTACTAAATAAACTAAATTAAAACCAATAGAAATGGAGAAATCAAAAATGGAATACATGCACTAACAAATGAACCAAATTGTATGAAATTAATAACATAATAACATTGAAAGGATTGAAAAAGATAACAGTTAAGTAACTGTGGAAAACAATATTGACTGTATACTGTAAAGCTAAAGACAAAAAGACTATGTATGTGTGTCTATATATATTCACACCATAGTCTAGATAGTACAGTGTATATACAGTGTACACACATACAACCACATGTCTCCATTTTTTGTATAATGTGTTTACTTTCTTAACAGCACGTATGGTAAAAGTGATATGTGTTATCAATTGTGACACAACTTTATGAGCACATTAGAATTGAACAAATAAGTAAAATTATATTGTAGATAATAAGAATCTGTGTTCTCATTGGTGGAAAAAGAAATATTTGGATAAAGTGAACATTGTGGTGATAGATTAGAATCAGAGGTATTAATGTAAATTCATTAAAAAATCTACAGTTATATAGATGGAGAAACAGATTTGTGTGTGTATACATGAGTTGAGGCTGGTCTCAAACCTGTAAGTTCAAGCAATCCACCTGCCTTGGCCTCCCAGAGTGCTAAGATTACAGGCGTGAGCCACCATGCCCTGCCAGACATTCACACTTTTAAAAAGTACTGATCAGTTATTTTGAATAATGTCCCTCAATTTATATTTGTCTGATGTTTTCTCCTCACTGGAATG